ATATATCTGTATGTTTGTGTGTGTGTGTAAGAGCGTTGGCGCATGACATTGCCATTTATTGAAAGCTGGGCAGCAGCAGCAGCAACAACAAAACAAACGACGGCAGCGTCAGCAGCGGTGTCGACCTTATTGACGAGTTTTACAAACTATTTTTGTTGTGCTTTACTCAAAGGATCAGACCCGCAACAAAAGCACAACAAACAGCTGTTTGGGTAAGGCCCTTGCGTGACTCAATTGAAAGATACAGAGAGAGACAGAGGAGGAAAGAGACAGAGCATTCATGGGTAAGCTTGAGGGGGAGAATGAATTAAGCTTTGATACTCTCTTCATGTTGATTACAATTGTTTATAAATATATGAGACACAAAAAACCATATTGTTGATGTTCTATGTTGAGACTTAGCTGAATTAACTCAAATTTGTTTAATTAATTAATAAATAATTAACGTACTTACTGAAAGGTGGTAACTAAGACGCTGGCGTCAACACGTGCGCTGCCAACGCATCAAAACAACTATAGCGTCGCTTAATAGCGGTCGCAGCAGGAAATACAAGAAGCCAAAAAGCTAAAGCAACAAAATGAAATCAGAAAAAGCTAACAGTATAATAACAACAACGCAAGCAGCGGCAGCAAAAGCTCGGCCAAATGCAGCGCAAGCATATATACTTGTTGTTGTAGTTGTATTTAGCATATTTAATTTTAGCCAGGCGGAAAGGAAAATTGAAAAACGGCATTGTCTTTTCTGCAGCTTCTTCCTCTTTGGACTCTCTTTGTTAAAAATAAATTATTATATTCATTTTATTTACGCACAAAACAAAAACAAAGCAAACGAAAGCGACAGATGGAGTGTCATATAAAAAGAGAGCAATGGAATGGAAGAGAGACGGAGAAGGAAAAAGAGAGCACGCGTTCGTCAGACTGAGAGCGGAATGAACTTTTGCCGGCTTTTTTGGGCCGCTGCGCAAGGGAGGGAGGAAAAACTGCAATCACAGCAGTAGCAGCAACAGCACAAGCAGCAGGCGCGACGAAAACTAAAAAAAGCGCATCAAACAAAATCGTCAACTAAAAATAAGCACATCTTTGTTGTTATCGTTTTGTTTTTGTATTTTGATTTTGTTTTTCTTTTTATTTTTGCTTTGGCATTTAGAGAGCACGCGCTTTGCGTTGCGTTGGTTGAATTCATAGTAGATTTTGTATTTGCCTTTGCTTTCGTGACTGCTGCTCTGTTGTCAAGCGCCGAAGTGAGAGGAATGCAGCGCTGGTCCCTTCCACACAGTCCCCGTCGCTCTTTACACTATCCTTTGAGTGACAGTTCTTGGGCAATTTTCAATTTCAATTGATTTCGTTGTTCAAAAAATAAACCTTTGCGAGTGCGTGTATGTGTTTTTTTTTTGGCTAAGCCAATTGCTGTCACAAAAACAAATTGGGTCAACCACAATTAATAAACCTAAATATAGCAAAAAAATACATCTGCAGCACCAAAAACAACAACAAATACTGCTGATAACAGAACATAACGAAGTAGAAACATCAAAGCTTTGAGGATCGATTATATTAACCGTTAAAGTAACAAAAAATCATAACCATCTAATCGTAAAGGAGCATAATTGTCCACCCGACAAAGATGTCAAATGACATTTTATATTCAGTTGTTACCTGCAGATTTATCCATCTATAAAAACTTATTTTTCATTTGGTTATTTATTTATGTATTTATTAAGTAGTTAACAAAAAACGTATATGTTCCTTTTATGTTACTTAAAATGGCTCCGCACAAAGCAGCATAAGTTTTTTCTTCAAATGATTCTCTGCTTGGTTAGCAACAAGATTGAACAAACCTTCAACATATAAATCACATTTTTCTTTTTCTTTTTTTTTTTAAAGGTATAAAATTCGTTGGTTTCTTGTCGCTCTTTAATCAACTTACTCGAGAGAGACAGAGAGAAAGAAAAACAGAGCGCGATAAACGTTTTCAGTCAATTAGCACATTGGAAATAATTCAATGCAGGAACAACTGAACTACAACAAACTGAACTACTTACTGACTATATATCTATCTATCGTATATATATATATATATATATATATATATATATATATATATATATATATATATATATATATATATATATATGTATATATATATAAATTAATCTGCATGGAGATCATCGGTGTTATAAAAACCAGCTCATAACTGGAACTGACTGGGTAGAGAGAGAATGAATTAGTAAATGGATTATGTACACGGGTTTACATCCGGAAAATAAGTGTTGATCCACTAATCTGCATACAAATAAGCATATTTACATATATGTATGTATATATATAATTGTATGTACATACGAATTGTATGTGTTAGATGTTCATCAAGCTTATCTAGATCAAATGTAATAACAGCTATTTTATTATGCAGTCTTTTTAGGAACGTTTTCTGTCATTTCACAAAGTAAACCAATTTTAATTTTTCTAAATTTATTTATAATTTAACATTAAAATTGTTAGAAAGTATTGGAATTTGATAGCTTGTTTTTTTTTTCGTATTGATATTTTTGTCGCATGCACCAAAAAAGGGTATGTTCAAGTGCTCAAGTGTTTTGCTTAGTTCGTTTTGTTGTCAAATTTCAGTTGCCTTATAGCTGTTGTTATAGTCGTTGTTTTTGTTTTTATTACTGTTGTTGTATAACAGAGCATACACGCCGGTTGCCTCTGCTGCTGCGCTGTTTCTGTTATTTTTTTAGTTTCTTAGTTTTGTTTGCATTTTGCGCATCGTTCGTATTGTTATTGTTGTTGCTTCAGACACACAGCCACACAAGTGCACACACACACATGCTCGTCTACATATACATATATGACTATGTATGTACATACATATGTATATCTTATCGCGCTAACAATACAAAGTTCTTTTTTGCTACTGCTTTTGTGTGTATATATGTCTGTGTATGTACATATATACATAAGTACTGTGCGAGCTAAATGCATACATACATAATTATTTTCATTTTTTATGTAATCAACAAAACAGCGGCCACATGCGGTGGCGGCAGCGCTGGCTTTTCTGCCGCTAGACATGCGGTGGCGACAGCGGCAGCGCTGGCCTCTACCGCCACCGCCGCCTATTGCTTCTCTCCTTTGCCAAGGTTCTCAAAAAAAGCACCAAAGACACTGACACCACGACACAGCACACGCACACATCTTGTGTGAGGTGCAAAGTCATAGCGTCAACAAAAAAAGAGGCAGACAGAGAAAGAGACGAGGGAGCGTCGTTAGTTTGGTGCCGAGTGGGTGGGCAGAAAAAGCGTCGCCTGCCTATGCGTGTGATGCTCTTTTTCTTCTCCTCTCACATTCTCTTACACTCTCCCGCTCTGTGACTGGCCGCCTTCAATCCCTTTCGCAGACGTCATGTCAAAAATATTATGCCTTGTTTGTGTCTGTGTGCACATTCATATATATTTTTGTGTATATGTATTCAATTAGTTTTTAATGGGGGCGTTGTACAAATTTCCAATTGATTTTTAAGCACACGCACACAGAGCTTAAGTTATCTTTATCATTGCATAATCTCTCTTTGTTGTCGCATGCTAATTGCACACAGTTTTTCTTGTTCTCCTTCTTCTTCTTCTGTCATTTGAAGCTCACGAGCGCAGCTCCGATGCTCAAGCAAAAGTCAGACAATGACGAGGTCGCTTTATCACAAAATTCAAACCCCGCTACGTCTAAACGAATCAACAAATACTAATGCAGCTCTCAATGCGCGCTCTCACTCTCTTATACACTCATACGACGCGAAAAAAGCAAAAGCAGAGTTCAGAGCGAATCGCAATAACAATGCAAATCCATAAAAGGCTGATCGCAAAAACAACAACAATAACAAATAACCAAACAATTTACAAAGCAGTGGCGTCGTCATGGGACGCCAACGCAGACGTTTACGTCGCAACGCTGTCGCTCTGTTTCTATTTTCCTGCTGACGCAGACTTTGCTGAGAGAGAAGCACACCATTTCTCTCATTTTTCAGTTCTGCCAAATGTGAGCGCGTAACGACGACGACGACAGCAACAACAATAACAACTGACTGAAACCGAAGACGTCGATTAGGATGCCACTGTACATTATTAACTCTGAGTTCGAATGTAAATCAATTATTAATCAGCATATAGACCGTTTCTATTCCAACTCAACTGCATGTGAATACGACATGATACCAATCGTATGTATGCATTCACTTATTGTTACAAATGACCCAAATATAATTTCATATTGTTCTGACGTCACTAATATACTGATATACTACGTCACACGCAAATGCAATGCGTAAGCACATTTTTCTTGCCAGATCTGTCACTGGTATGCCATGTGCTGTGCATGCATTAGTCTTTGTGTGCAAATAGGTGATATAATATGTCTGTAGGTACATACATACAAATAGAAGCAAAATATTCTTTTAGAATATTATGCGCAGCAAATAAATTATAACAAAGACGCAAAGAACAACAAAATGTAGCGTGGCTCTCTCAGTATGCGAGACTGGCACATCGTTCCGGACGACACTGTAGCAACAAAACGTACAAATGCGGGCGACAATAATTGCTGACCACCTCACACCACCCCCAACCACGACCCAGAGAGCTGATCGTTTGCAGTTGCATTTCAATTTCAATTGTTGCTGACTATGCGCTGGCAGCGACGCCGCCGCCGCGTGCGCGTCTGCTGCGGGCCACTGCAGCAGGGGGCGTCAAATTTACAACGAAAACAAACCGCAATGAGACGCGGGGGTCGTCGTCTCTGCCAGCACTCTGCCTGCAACGAAGCAGTTTTCTTTTTTTGGCTGTTGGTGTGACCAAGTTTTTGTATTAAAACGCACACACACACATTAACAATATAAAAAAAAATAAATAAAAATAAAAAAAAATATGGACACACCACGTTTTGTTATTGCTCTCATGAAATTGAATTTTTGTACGCTTATTTTCTTTTTTTATTTCGTATTTTGCACTCACGTTTTGTTGTTGTTGTCAGAGCCAGCTTCGCTGTTCCTCTCTCGCGCTGCAACGTCACCGTCGGCGCTTGGATTCTTATGCTTATCTCCTGCTCTCTTTCGTTTCTGTTGTGGGCGGCACTTGCTAACCTCTTTACGCACTTTTTGAATTTGGTTGTTATTGTTGTTCTTCTGCCTCTTGAACGTTGTATCGACCAATTAATTAACACTGCACGCGAACGCGCCACAAAAAGTTTGCCAAAGACGGCGAAAGTCAAAAAGCAAACAATGAAAAAAAAAGTCAAGTAGGCAAAATATGTTTAGCGTTTATGTCTGTGCATTGTCTAAAATCAAAGTCATCAACATTAACTTTAGTTGATATTGCAATAAGGTTGTTGTTTACTACTATTTAAATATTGTTCAATTAATTTCTAAGTGTTGTCTCGACACCGCACGTCCGTAGCGCTGAAAGGCACAATGCAAAATGAATGAGATTTACAGAACTCTGACTGTGGCGACAACGGAACGAAAAATGAAACGAAACAACACAAAACGAAAGGCACAAGGCGGCAAACGCGGCGCAGTCGCCTACGACTCACAATGGGACAAGTTCACCTCACAGACTACTCAATTAATGTTTTAAATTAAACATTTATTATTGTATATATTGTATATAAATTATGATTTTACACAGAATAGTATTTGAAATTGTTTGCAATCACTTTTGATTGTATTCATATAAAATAAGAATTTTGCCCATAGTGCGACTGTAAGAATTACCGTAGCAGTCGGCTCTGCTTATGCCTCTGTACCTGCTTGCGTGTGTATGAGTGTTTTTGTGTGTTTGTGACTGAGAGCGAGAGAGAGTGCGTGTGTTGGCGCTCCCGCTGCCAGACTTTCTGTTGTTTGTTGTTATTGCTGCTGTTGATGACGCTGTTGTTGCAACTTGTCAACACATTGACGTAAACTGACAACAACCGCAAAGCCAGCTTATTTAATTTTAAGCATTGGAATTTGGTGTTGCCGCCTTTTGCAAATTTCATTTATTTAAACACTAATGACACTCACAATTATTTGCATTTTAATTGCAAAAAAACAAAATCTTGTTTATGTGATTTTGACGCTCGCATACTACCGCAAGCACAGCGAACATACGAAAACATATGATGGCGCTCTTTTGGCATATCGCTTGTGTGTATGTGCGTGAGTGTATGTGTGAACAGCGTAAGAGAGCGAATCAGCCAGATCAAAACGCGTGGCAAACACATGGTTTTTGTTTTTGGTCAGAAAGAGAAGTAGCAACAGCATGGATCGCTTACAGTTATTTCAAGTGTGTTTGTTTGTTGTTGTACTTTGTTTTGCACAGTGGGACAAGATGCTTGCTAAAAGTGTTCGAACATAAAAGGTTATACATCAATTAATATAACTATTTCGCACATACATACATACATTCACGTTATATATTATTTTAAATGGACGTGATTAAAATTGCCAAGAAAATAAGAATATATATAAGCACTATATATATATATATATATATATATATATATATATATATATATATAAATTATATATATATATATATATATATATATATATATATATAATTTTGATATCTATCGATACAAAACATATACATAGTTACATACTCTATTCTATGTTTCGTACGTATATAGTTGTATGGCTTTGGATATTTTATGTACATATGACAAATATATTGGAAGGTAATGGTATTTATAAAATTAATGTGTGTACACCATAAAAATTATATGTATACATGTATGTAGGTATATATATGTGCACATGTGTCACACGCTGAGAGGCAAAAAAGTCAATCACACAAACACAACCGCAACATCAGACGACGCTATCGTGTGCGTCTGACGCTGAACTGCCCATCGACACCCGCCCGCAAATAACAAAACAGCGTCGCCGACAACAATCATCGACTGTTTTCATTCTCGCTCTCTCATATTAAGTTTATTTCTCTCTTCCTATCTATCTCCTTCTGTCTTTGTGTGTCTCGCTCTCACTCATCTTTCCGCATATACTGTTTAATACTTTAGCACAAAGTATCGGCATTTAGTTGATTCAGGCTAGGTATGCTAACAACAAACAAAAACGAAAGAGCACATCAAATACAAAATTTAAGAAAGAACAAAAGGTGTTATTAATTATTGTTTTAATTATTTAAAAAAAAAAACATAGAATATAAATATAATTATTAATATTTGTTATTCATATAAATAAATAACAATTATATCAAATTGTGCGCTGCTTTAGATTTATTCCTTTTGTCGACATATTCGAGATCAGCATGCTAGCTATTGACTAAAACAAAGTGGAAACTAAAATGCCGTTACTGTTTCTACGCTGCGTGTGTGTTGCGCTCTAGTTTTGATCACGAATATACCACACTAACGCGAACGCATACTTACAAACACAAGCAGAAGCACATGTACACGCTCGAGCAGAAGCACATGCACGTATGCAGACAGTGGGGCAAACGACGACGCACTTGTTCCACGTCGTACTATTAATGAAAATGAATTGTAATGCGAACGTGTTAATTAGAGAGAGATAGCAATGAAGAGAGCGGCTTTTTATTTGTCAATGTGTTTGTGCTTGCACTGGTCGTTGCTGATGTAAAAACAAACAAAACAAAAAGCAAAGCATAAGGCGAGTAGAAAACAAAGTGTGGCCAGAATAGACACAACAACTATTACTACTACGACTACAAAAACAAGAAGAGGAGTAAAAAGAAAGCCGATAAGCAACAACAACAATAGCACGAGTTCTTATCGTTTTGCCACTCAATTATACAAATTTTCATGATTTGCTATTGCCATTTTCGTGCTGCAGCTGGCGTCGATGGCTACGCCGACAGAGCCGTCGCACACTGTAAAACATTTTGCGACGCTCACGTAATTGAAACGTCGGTGGCGGCTTTTACTCTAATTGGAATTGTTGTATGCCCGTTTTCCGGCCGGTTTTGGCCAAAGTGATTTTTTTTAACGTGGCCGGCCAAAAGTAAATACACACATGAGCAGAGATAAAATGTATATAAATACAAACATATATATGTATTCATGTATGTTTACCTAAATATGTTCAAAATGCATACATATACACATATGTATGTATGTTTGTATAAAAAAATAGAACAAATGAAGCAAAAAGAGACAGAGAGTCAGAGTTAGCGGCATTAGCTGAGACCGCGACTGCATATAAGAAGCAGAAAAACTAACAAACAAAAATTATGTGGGCCACGCTGAGCGCAGTAGAAAGAGAGAGGGAAACCCGTAGAAAGAGTGAGACGGAGAGCGCGCGCATTGGCATGATAAGAGCGGCCCCCAAAACTGTTTACTCACAGTTTTAGACGCTACTGTCCCCATGCGGTCACTATGGTCGTTGCTTCAAAACTGCTCTCTCTCTCTTTTTTTTGCTGAAATACATACAGAGTGGAAGTGTATGGAGTTATACAATTCGCTCAAATCCAATAAGCAAGTGAAATTACTTGATTGGAAATTGCAATGCATGGCAATTTCAAGAGCGGCAGCAAGAGCACAAAACCAGTTAAAACATGCCACAATTCAAAGAGAGCAAGAAAGAGGGAGAGAGAAAACTATAAACAGTTAAACAGGTGCATAACAACAATGAATCGACTGCGTGAGAGCGTGCAAAAGCTTACACCACACAAATGCAAAAATAAACAAGTAAGAAAGCTCTAGTCGGGGTGCCCGACTAGGAGATACCCTGATCCCAGTCCTCTGAGTTTTTTTTAAATTTTCCGTAGTTTGTATCGAGTATTCAAAAAAAAAGAAAACAAATAAAAATCGACATTGCGAGACCAGGATTCGAACCCGGATTATTTGCGCAACGTGCACAAACTCTACCAACACCGCCACTTCATAACTAAAAAAAAAAATAGAACAATAAAAACATTTCATCTCCACTGGTCTCGAACCCGGCCCAAGCTGCATACGAGCGGCGTCTCTACCAACGCAGCCACTTCCCTTCTTATGCGAGATGTTGCAAATTTGAACATAAGTAGCAGCTAATAATTCAGCACAATTCAATCGCAATTTCAATTCTTGGAATAGAAAAGAATGCACGCATTTGAATGTATGTGTGCACACGCATAGGAAAAATGCGTGCGCGTGGCGCTGCTGACATGTGCTTTTGCAAATTGGCCAAACGTTTTGTTTAATAACTTCTGTTTCACTTAATGGATTTTAATGAAATTTTCAGCATATGATCTACATATCCTATTGGCTTGGTTGAGATGCAAACGCCTTCACATAATGGCCCTAGTTCCAACTAAACTTAAATTCTAAGAATTTGGGGGAATTTGGAGCCGGTATCCAAAATCCAACAAAAATCAAAATTGCATAAAATATACATAAGACTAAATACAAAATTTGGAAGCTCTAGCTCTTAAGACGTTCGAGATATAATTTATTTACTGCATTTCAATAATGTTTTTATTCGATAACAATTAAATGCGAATAGTTATCGAATATTTGAAACAAACTTGACCTGCGCGTGCTATACACGGACCTACAAAAAAAATTTCAAGTCTCTAGCTCTTATAGATGCTGAGATCCACGCGTTCACACATACGGACAGACGGACAGACGGACAGACGGACAGACGGACAGACGGACAGACGGACAGACAGACAGACGGACAGGGCTCAATCGACTCGGCTTGTCGTCCTGATCAAGAATATATATACTTTATGGGGTCTGCCACGCCTCCTTCTGCCTGTTACATACATTTGCACAAAACCATTATACCCTGATTTCCCATTTTTAATGGGATCAGGGTATAAAAATAAAAGAAAAACGAAAAACAAAAACAAAAGATACGAAACAAAAACATATACACACACATACACTTGCACGCACAGCGCGTGTTGAGCGTGCACAGTATGACCAGTAGTAGTGATAATGCTATGAATCTAGGAAAGTCACGCTGCGCTGTCAACACGTGATGACAAAAAAAATCATACATACTTATAAACGAAAATGCGTGTCTTGTCAAGATAACGCAAAGGCAAACGAGCGAAGGCAATCTTTTACGTCACCATATTGTGCCGTGCCAGCAGACAGCGACAAATGTGGAGATCAACACAGATCACTTACTCAACCCCAAAACGTGAACGTAAACCGAAATGTTTAAATGGCATTTTCCTAAACTATACACACACAAATACTCATTCACGTATATATGACTGTGTGTGTTTGTATAATCATGTGATACCAAAAATAAAGAAAAATGTGAAAATCAAATAACAGCGACTGCGACAAGGCACTAAAAAGTCACAAGCAAAAGTGGAGCAATAAAGCAAACAGTCGAAACAGAAACAGCCAAAAAAACATCATTGTGTGTATACACACACACAGTTGCATATATATATGTATATATAAATGCATGTGTGCACGGCAACAGTTCGTCCATTTCTAATAGGTTGTATTTGCAATTTACAACAAGAGTAAATCTATGCAAATAGCCGCAAGCAAAAACAAAACCAA